TTTCGTTATCAAAACAAAACTTATTATTTTATTTTTATTTTTTTTTAATCAAGTAAGTACGACATTAAAAAATGTCATAAGTTTGAAACTTTGGACGTCTTCTATTATACCCTCGACCCATATTTCACCATCATAAATAATTTATGATTATTGATATTTTTTTTATATTTTTTATATTTTATAGTATCTACCTATTTTAGATGTTTTATAATATAATCTATAAAATTGTAAAAATAATAAAATGTATTGGGTATCTGTCTACTTTATCATAATACCAAATGACAGTAAGCAAAACAACTCTGACATTTATCCATCATCAGTAACATTGTTATTTAACTGATACAGCGTGATACACTGATACCTATATAATAAACACATAAAATGGCGTTTTTGACAGTTTCTTTTTGCTTCTGATACTGACTTCTGATTTCTGATATAAGTATAATAACGTATACATATAATACCTATATACTTGTGCCCATATTATACCAATATCAATTTATAATCCATGTAAACAGTTTTTTCTTACAGGCAATGTCTGTTTACTTAACTATATACATTCCCGTGTGTATTTTAGTATTAATATGTGCTAGTTTACATTATTTATTACCTATACACAAACGGCTGAATTATAACAATATATCCATTGTTCCAAAAAAAAAAAAAAGTGCGACACAAAGTAATTAATCCCAATCAAACTATTTTTTTTATTTGGTATGGAAAAATATTTATCTACCGTACAAAAAATTATTTTACATACATACACGTAATAACTAATAAATTAGGTAACACGCATATAAGTAGGTAACTAATTTTGTTGGCAATACATTATGTTTTAAGCAATTTAAACATTAGGCTAAACAATTAAACATTTATGCAAGAAACAACTGTATAGAATTTTTACATTCAATAGTTTTGTTTTTTATTTTTCATAGTTATTTTTAATACATTTCATTAAAGTAATAAAGTACATAAAATTTAAGTAGGTAGGTAGGTACTAACAAATATTATCTATTTGATCAAATTACAATTTAATGTATAGTTGTTCATAGGTTTTACCACTGTCAAAGTGTCAACTGTTGTAACACATGTAACAGTAATTTTAACTGTATCTCTTGACTGACGTCTGACGCTAAATTATGATTGTATAAAAACAAGAGTCAGTACCTATTTGACCATCCATCTTCTATTTTTAAACCATTGTAACGTGCTGTTCAACCAGCAACCACAAATCATGATGATCAGAATTTGTCAAAAATAAGTACCTACCTAATTAATGAAAAATAATTTTCACAGCTGAATAAAATAAAAATAATAATATAATTGTGTAGGTACCTACCTAAATACAATAGGTGATTGGAACCCAATAGCTATGGTGCATTTAACTACCTGAACAATAAATATACCTACCTACTCTTCTTTAAACTTTTTGATAATAAAAATAATAATAATGTTGTTCTCTTACCTCTTTTCCAAGGCTAGAGGTTTTACAATTTTGTGAATGGGAATTCGTAATTTTCACCAATAAATAAAGATATGTAATTTGCACCATTACAGGTAGCCGAAAATAGTGTTTGTAATTTGCATCAAAATAAGGGCACGTCATTTGCACCACCGTGAGACCTGGTGGTAAGAAATATAATATGTACTAAAATCAAAATCGATTATTATAAGTAAAGACTGGATTTGTATGCATTTAAAATTTTAAAATATGCAAAATAAAATTTCAATTTTTATTACATTTTATATTTGATTTTAATTTTGCAGTGATAATTAGTTATTAGTTTTATAAAAATTTTCATAAACAAAAAGTAAGATGTATAATCTAACAGATATGTAATACCTACAAATTACAATAATATAATTTGTTAAATGTTAATTTAGTTTAAAAAAAAATTTTACTAAAATTAAACAGTATATACATTGGTAATATATTGATGTAAATAGGAAAAAAGTACGAAAAATTGAATGTAGTAGGTATGTTAATTGGAAAAATAATAACCAAACCTATTTTTAGCGTCCGAATATTCTTTAAGATGTAAAATATTTAATATGAATATTATATAAACGTAAATATAATCTGTTATTTTTTTTTTTTTGCTCAACACCTTTTTGAATCGTTGAGTGTATATTTGTAGTATTTATACGGAGTTATGTTATAATATGCAAAAATATGCACTATAAAATGTTGATATTTAATCAATCAAGTTATAATTTCAGATTTGTGGACACTCATTGACTGCATGTATATGATGTTGAAAATAGCAACATGCATTTTATGCAAAATCTGGTCTTAAATTATAAGATAAGTACTATTGAAAGAATAATTGTAGGTAGGTACAAGTTTCGATATTTGAGTAAATTTTAAACTTCATTTAAGTTCTCACTGATTTTCAAGTTGATACGTAGGTACCATAAAACTATCGAGTTTACAAATACCTAACAAAATTATTTCTCAAACAAGTAAACGAACACATCAAATTCAAGTTGCTTTGGATCAATTTAATAATAAATTGATGTCAACAACTTCATTCATTGAATTAGTTGCATACAAGTACAAAAAACCTGAAAGTATCAAAACATAAATTGCAATCTAACTATATTCTATAATAATCTGGCAATCAATGCAACATCAGTTTGTTTTATTATTTTTAAATGTATACTTAGGTATATATTTTTAATTAATATTTTTATACTATTTTTTTTCTTGTAGCACATAAATTCATACTAAATTATATTTTTACATAAAATAATATAATAACTATAATATTATATAATACCTATTATGTTTGTCATGTATTATTATTATTTATAAGGTATAAATTTTAAGTCAATGCTGATGTAGAACAGTGTAAATACTTAATAGACAAGTGAAATAATCAGTATATATAAAAAGAATATTCAATGTCTTAAGCTTTTTATATTTCAATAATATATTATACTCAAATATCAAAATGTGTACTATTATTCTTTCGATACACTATCACCTGAGTAATCCTGTTCTTGGGGGTAGTATTTAAAGGTCACAGGTGTAGCGGAGTATGAGTTGAAGCGATTGAATAAATTACGATTTATCTATAAGGTAGGTTATTTTACCTATAGTAAATCAAATTAAAAATATCACTTAAAAATACAGAAATGACTATTGTCTTTATCTCACGAACTTAACTCGACTGACTAGCTATTTCAATGATTTGCATATACTCATATTCAATGTTCCTGTGTTCTTCTGACCTAAGCAAAAATCACAGAGTGCAGCATAAATGACATGTCAGTAACATGTATATAGTTACATATTATATACAATTAATTGTGATCTTGATTATCACGTTAAAATATGTTTTGGAAATAACCCTGGTATATTATTCTAACTTTGCTAGTTTGTATAATTCCTAGTAAAGAAGTTCAAAAACCCAAAACTCTGTAATACCTATCAATATTGTAATTTAAAAACATTTTAGCCTTTCAATAAGAGAATGAATTATAATACTTCAATATATAAGTAAAATTAAAATTAAAGAAATCATCAGACCATACTTCATAGATTTTACAACAGATTAATAATGATTAGTGATTGTTTTTAAGACTGATTTACCATCTTCTTTTACATCCAGTCTTTTAGTTATTTTACTTAATTGTACTTTTATTATACTTAGTAATAGTAATTAATACTTATCAATAATGCATAAGATAACAATTTGAGCATAAGTATCAATAATAAACAGTAATGAATGACAACATTAAAAACATATATATATATATATTAGGTACATAATTTAATATATTTAACAACACAAAAGATCATAGTGTTTTAACTTCTGACTAGTTACATTAAATATTCCTCTTTTTTTTTTTTTTTTTATAAATGTAAAATGATTAAATTAATATTTAATAATTATAAATAAACATAATATAATTTTTAAAATAATTGAATACATTTAAAAAATTCAATACAAATAGGATTGAATAGTGGATAATGAGTATACAATAAATAGAATTACAAAACAGTTTAACAAAAGAATATACATGTATATTATATAATATAATATGACTCAATCATAAACAAATTTTAGATCAAACATGATAAAAAATATAAACATGTTATAAATATTTTTCTTAAAAGCTTAGGATAAATATATTAATATGCAAGCCTATAATATTATACTAATAGATATTTTAGGTTTAATCGTTTTAACAATTTTGTTGTAAAATTAATACACGGTAAAAAATAAAATAAGTGAATAATACATTTGGGTGTACATTATAAACAAATAATTAATTATTGTTAAAAATATTAAAATACAGAGTGCACTACATATATTAATTAAATATTTTACTATAAATTAAAGTATGAAACATAAGTAAAATATTTTACAAAGGATTTCAACAATGTTATATTTAATTTTTTGACAAAAATAATAAATTAAAAACATTTAATATAATATATATATATTATAAACTCTCATATAATAGTAATCTCAGGCAATGGGTTTCCATGAACAGTAGCAGCAATGGGCTAACATCCCACTGAATGTACTGCTCTTGAGAGTCCATCTTTCATTTTGTAAAGATTAATATAGCAAAGCAATTTTTTTATGACAGGCGATTATTAGAAATAAAAAATAATAATGAAAGTCACAAAACCAATTTAATAGAGGAGTGTGAACAGACCAAACCAGACAATAATCAATCATCGCCTGAGATTATTTTTATATAGGAAATATACTCTACACATAAAAGCATTTACTCTAAAGAATTTATTACCAATAAACTGTAAAAATATAAAATTAGCTGATAATCGGCAAGGTGAATATAAAACACTATAGAAAATTTGCTATTCATACTATTACCCATTTTAGGCAAATTACATAGCACATATTTAAATCAAAAATATTTCCAAAATATAAAAATAAATTTAAATTTAAATTCTTTTATAATTGTTAATTTCTTCATTTAATTTTTAATTGTTTTGTACATTTTTAATGGGACACAGAAAGTAAAACAATAATATAACAAGTTATAATAAATAATAACCCATTATTTTTCGGTCAGAGATAATTGTAAAATTTTTTCTAACATTTCTTCTTCCATTCTTACTTGTAGTTCAGCCTGCCTTTTTTCTTCAATAGACAACCTCAACACCGCTTTAAGATCAGCATCTGCATCATCAGCCGTTGCATTATCAACTAAGTCTGGAGCATCAGATTGTGAAACCGCAGGCACAAATGTACATTCGGTCAAACTTGCATGGATTGCTCTACAAGGAAATTAACTAAATATACATACAAGCCAAGCAAAGGTATCATTTTACACTAAACATGTTAGTTGGATAATAAATTAATAACCAACTTTAAAATTATTAAATAACTTGGTCTAAGGGAAATTTATTTTTAGGTTCAAATTAGAGGAATTAAGCATTTTATTGTCCTCTCTTTTTAAATGATAACCTGTTTAAATATATTTATATTCATAAATATGTATGATAAAGCGTTCTTATATATTTGTACCTTTGTAATTCTTCATCAGCTGGATCAAAATAGAGGTCATTAGGAGTATTTGGTCGCTGAACTTGTAAAGCTTCCCAAATATCAACCTTTTCAAAAAAAATATTAGTATTTCTAAGAGCATAAAATTAATAAGATAATAACTTACCTGATCTTCTTCAGCCCCAGTTTCTAAAAGACTTTGTCGAACAGCAAATTGAAGCAGTTCTTCATCATTGTCCATACCAATTTGACGTCTTTGTTCAGCACCTTAAATAAATAGAAATTTAATTAATACAAATATACATTATTTAATTTGTATGAAAATTTGTATTTTACCAAGAACTACATAACTTCTGGGTGGAAGAAATACAGAATCTTCAACTACACAAAACATTTTTCCATTAGAGTCTAATGTTTGAACACCTTCTACAGCTTTATCTGTCCCAAATAAATTACCAAATGTAATTTGGGCATTAGAAATATGGTACAGCGGTATTTCTACAAAATAGTAATTATTTAAGTATTCATTATTTAACTTATATTTAACAGGTTAAATACCAATTTTAACAGGAAATCCTGATGGGAGTTGCATTTCAATAAAATCCTTTAGTTTGGCAAAATGAGAACTTGTAATTGCCATTAAATCAACAATTGGCATGATTTGTTCTTTCAAACTAAGTGGGTAATCTTCACAAAGCCACAAATTAGCCTGAAATTTTTTTAATTCATGATTTTATACAGAACATAATGTATAAACTTACTTTGATCTTTGTAACTTTTGTAGTTTGCTCAATTGGCTTCCGTATATATTTTCCTTTAATATCAACCAATTCATCAAAATATTCAGCCATTGTAACTTCAAGTTCCGATTTAACTGGCTAAGAGGCAATGTTTTTAATATTAAATATGTAATTAAAAACTTAAAACTAATTTTAACTTACACATGTTTCTTCACTTGAGCCTAAAATCGATTGGATAGGATTTTTTGCATTATTTAATTTTGCCTTTTCAATTTCATTCATATGTTCTGTTCTTGATTTAGTGACAAATTCCACGTTACTTGCATTAAATACTTTACAATTATAATCATTAATTATTTCTGATTTATCTTGCCGCCATCCCCAAATACCACTTTTATTCCTAAAATACAAATAAAACATTATAGTAATGTTTTTCCAAATTTAAAAAAAAATATTTATAAAATACCTTTCAAAACTAATTTTTTTAGTATCTATATCAAAACTAACAATGGGAGCAGACAATCTGCTGGCTATTGTATCATCTGATGGACGCATTACTTCAATACCCTGATCCAAAGGTATCATTTGAATTTCTTCTACATATACCCTGTGTGCTTCGTGATCTACTTCAAGAAATGTAGCTGATTTACCTAATAAAACAAAATAATAACTATTTTTTAAATTTGAACAATTTTAATAATTTTATAAAACAACTAATTTATTACAATCTGTTTTATAGAATACAAAGTCAACTTTCAATAATACAATCATAATAATATAATAGTATAAATAATTTAATACACAGTTTTTTTAGTATATTATAATTTTATTTAAATACCAGTGCTTTATAGAATTTAAATTTAAATATTTTGTATATATATTTGTTTACTAGGTAAAGGTAAACACAAATTTATAATCAACAACAAATCATTAAAATGAAAATTAAATTTGTAATACTACATTTTAGTTTATTACTAATTTACAAATTATAAAATTTCACCACAAAAAATATTAATAAATTTTACATGTTAAAAATAATTTAATTTCAAGCAGTGTATAAAATTCAATTCAATGTGTAATAAAAATTGCTAGGAAAGTTTAAGATGTAATAATGTTATCTCAAACCTACAAACAAATATACGTTTACTAATATCAAAAATTGAAATAGTTGTAGCTTGGAAACTATATATTAGGCAATGAAAATTAATTCTAGATATTATGTTATATTTTGTTGTCCTGAAAAATTTAACCTTTATTAAGTTGAAATATGAACGTTCGTTTTGATTTGAAAAGCGTTGCAGCTGTAATATTATAACATAACAGACATAAACCATGCACATAAATAAAATTTAACCAACTTCACTTACTTTGACCCAAAAATATGTAACTCAAATTTCCACGTTCCCAATTACCCTGGTCAAAACCCAATAATGTGGTATCGATTCGTACATTAGATCCCTGTTTAAATATTTTATAAGTATCACTTGGACACATTCTTGATATTAATGGAACTAAAAATGAAAAGATATTATTAATCTAATTCAAAATAACACATTACTCAAATCAAGAATCTTACCCCAACTAATAAATTCCCATTTCATTTCTACATAGAAATCAGGTGATTCTTCGAGTAGCTTTAACAGTTTTGAAACATCAGTAGCTCGATCTGAATGACGCTGATAATCTCTGTGTTCCATTACAAGCTTGACCATTTCTGGATCACCTGTAGCAATTGCTTCTTGCAATGCTATAAAAATAATATAAATAGTTTAAAATGTTATCAAACAAAAATTGATACAATTGATACAATATATATTTATTTTACCAGTCCATCCTTCATCATTCTTTACATTGACGTTAGCTCCTCTATTTATTAATAATCTGGTTGATTCAATGTCACCTAATGTTATAGCTAACATTAAAGGTGTATGACCTCTAGGATCTATTTTTTCTAGTTGATTCTAAAAAATAATAAATAAACAATAAACGTTTAGATAATAACGTGGCCAACTTTTTTAGTTATATTAAATTCATACCAGTTGTAAATTAAATAAATTTACAAATACATTTAATTTAAAACAATAGAAGTTTATGTAAAATGATACATAACAAACTATAGAATGTCAATAAAAACAACTTTTTTAAGCACATAGGTACTAAAAATAATTTAAAGTACATGGGATATTGTTGGTATATTGATTGTCACCATAGCTGAACATAATAAATATAGGTATGGTACACAAATTGACTATACTCTGAAATACCATGTATTACCGGGCAACATACTGTTACATGTAAATATTAATAATACAAAACAGTTTAAGCTACCACTGATAATAAGTATCAAATATTTTATTAATATTGTAAATTATTACCTATTAATTATAAGAAAAAAAAATTCTAACAAAACATTATCATCTTTTACACAAACACTTTAGAAGGTAAAATTATTTTTTGTTGAAAATAATGTTATATGTAGGTATCATATATTTGAGTAATCTATGAATAACTACCAATTTTCAAAATATAATTTTAGACTTAATTATTTTACATTTTAGGTTTCTACTTCTATAATAATACTAATATAAATGTGGTCCATGCAGAAGATTTTCATTAGATGTCAATAAGCTCATACAGTAATGTATCTAAAACATATTATTATTTTGAAATTAATGAATTAACTACCATCATAAAGTATAAGTCAAGACTGAAGTGTAACTTTGATGTTTTTTTTTTTTTTTTGTTGATTTTTTTGATAAATTTTTTTTATGTATTTGAATAATACTCTTCTAAATTAGGATTGATAAATTTAAAATAAAATAAATTACAGCTAATTATAAGAAATACATTTTTTTAATATTCTATCTAGTATTAGACCTACACTTTACTTTTCTAAATTTTCCCCACAATAAATAAAATAAAAGTAAATCTGAAGTTAAGACAAATTAGGGTAACTTTAGACATCTATATATATTGTATATATTATAAAGTTGGCAGTTACAAGGTTTAAGTTTTTTTTTCCTGTAGTGCATAAGTAATATTTCCAACTATAATTTTACATTGAAACAATTCAAATAAGGCTAAAATCTAATTTTTTTAAACAAAAATAGCTTAAGAATTGTCCAAACTTAAGCCATATGACAATATGTTAATGCGAGAAAGACAAACATAATAAACTTAATGACAAGTATTCTCAAAAGTTAAGAAGATTATTTGTAAAAGGTATTGTATTTTTTTTTTTTTTTTTAAACAACATACAAGTATATATATTGATTTATGCTTTTAAGAAGCCATTTCTATGTGATAATTTAATTAATTTAATTGTATTAGATATTGTTTACTAGTATGTATACATAAATATTAACTTACTGTTTTTTTATAACATTTTTAAAATAATATATTTACATTTTATAATAGTATTTAGTTAAACAAATAAATTAATACAAGTTTCTGTACATATAAATTAATTTATTTAAAAAATTATATCTAAAGGCTTAAAGTAATTAAATAGTACAGTATGTATTAACATAGAAATATAAAAATAAGGAAAATAAATTAGATATGATATGATTTAATAACTGATAAAGATTAACTACATAAAAAAGCAATATAACAAAAAAAATTAATTTATAATTTAAGTTAAAGGCTCCTTCAAAAAATTGGCCTCGAGTCTCAAAACTTTAAAGTAGAACTCTAATAATACACCAAAATTTGTAATGCCTATAGTACTTCATTTATATAATTATGAAATTAAAATTATTGGTTGTACAATGTCTACAAAGTATAGTTACACCAAATAATCTTTTTTTCAAACACGTATGATAAAAATAATGTATATTTAACTGAGCAAATTTCAAATTAAAGATTTTAGTAAGTACCACAACTAACATTTAAACCTAGTTATAATTTTTGTCTTGATGAAATTGTATATAAAATATGAAACACTTAGGTAAGTTATCATAATTTATAATTTAGGTAATAGATATATAAGTGATTTTTGAAAATGTATCAAATAAAAATGTAAGAATTCTTATTTAAAAAAAAAAAAACTAATTAATTAAATAATTCATTAAAATTAATGATATTAAGATTTTAAATTCTTCTGATGTAGCAAAGTTATTATAAAAACTTTTAAATAAACAACTATATTTATTAAAACAAATAGGGAAACTCGATGAGAAATATAACTGGAATTAATCAATGTCTATTTAAATGATCGTTCTCTCTGGTGAGGTTTTTTCTCAGTCAACTGTGATTGAAATAATAAATAAAATGTACCATAACTCGTAAGGTATTTAAGATATGTGGTTATATACAAGGTAAAAATAATACTATTTAAATAAATTTAAAGACTAATTTTTAGAAGTTTTACGGACAGGTACTTTAACAATGCTGATAGAACTTACCTGGCTGGTGGGAAGTTGATTGGAACCGATCACATTCAACTTCTCCTCCAGTAGTTTATGTTCACGCAACCATATCAGATAATGCAATGGGAAATCGACCCGGGCGCGTGCTTCCCATCGCTGGCTGGAGCCCAGCTCTGGTTGTATGTCGGAGGACATACCTGCAAAAGTCCAGCACACGGACAATTGCACAATGGTAACTCAATATTATACTCCCCGGACAAAATGTCGGAAGTAATTAATAATTAAAATGACGTGTACATCGAGGCGACGACAATATGTTGATGACCACTCACCAACCACCGCACATAGACTATATTAGACTATAGAGTATAGACAGGTATAATGTACGCACACTCATACAAGGACACAAACCGAAATCAGGCGCGCGCGCGCGCATACACTGAGGGTCTAATAGTAAATAAAATATAATGTCGTCGTCTAATTAAATATAACAATAATGATATTAATTTGTTTAAAAAATTGACTTTCGTAGGAACGAATTGATGAACTACGGCCACCTACAATTGGCTACTACAATATGGGTACCTATGGTAAAAAGTTCAAACTGTTCAAAACTGATAATAGAGGTATGAACGATGAGCTTAACTGTCGATTCGTCGAATAGGGTTTTGACCTCACAGGCAATCAAGAAAGTGCAATCACAGTGATCTTGACAAATTTTACTATTTACTACACAATATTAACATAATATGTATTATTATTATTATTATTATTATTATTATTTACAGTCATCCGCGCGACGCCGCAATACTGCAGCGGTATGTACTATATAACCGTCAAACTATATTACAATAAGTACGCAAACAATAAGCATACATAATTATTAACGTCATAACACAATTATAATAGTATGTACTTTATAGTTTTATACGATACTATTATTATTTATTAACATTTGTTATCTTATATTCGCAGGCGTGTCGATTATCATTTATCAGTTATCTTGGTCCGAGACGCAGCAGCAGATAGCGATTGAGACACTTTTCAGAAAGTACCTGGAAGAAAAATAGATAAATTGACCTTTTTAGCCAATCTCAATTCTGTTTGAATTATTTAATAATTCAATCATCATTCATCAGTAATTTAGTATACTTAAAAGTTAACACAGTTAATACCTAAATGTGCGCCTATTTAATACAAAATAATTAATGAATTAAACGATCCCACTGAATTTTCCATCTCCTAATAATTGTGGGTATTGTGGCAATGTGGCGTCAATCAGTAATCTGGTTCCCACCGACTGAGCTCTCTCGCCGCCAATAATCGTGGACGGCTCAACATTACAGCAGTCAATCTCTTAGTTCTTAGTGTTCTTACTCAATTAGTTATCGACTTCAATGACACTCTCTTCCTTTTTCAATTGCATTTTTAGCAACAACCATACTACCAAATATTTGGAATAGTATATATATTTAATAATTTGTTTAAAATATATTAAAATGTGTAAACGGGACTTTATACATTCTATTGTTCAGCGAATGTTTAGTTCATTCGTTTTAAATTTGTGTCCATAGTAATCGTTCTTATTATATTTATCGTATCCAGGATTATATTGGCACAACTGGTTGAAACCTCTAAAATGTTGCGAGCTAGCAGTTATATATTTGTGTTCAACTTTTAAGTGTGATAATAAAAAATAAGTAAAGGGTTTTTTTTTATAATAATTCAAATATTCTGTTCTCAAGCCTTGAACTAGAAATACATAAAACCAAACCAAGAGTGGGGATTATTATTTGATAAATTACCTAATGTGCTTTAGTAACTTGGAAGTGGCAATAAATTGACATGATTCATGAAAACTGAGTGTTATAAAAACTAGTTACATAATCACAACTCCACCAAAATGAATTTTTATTTTTATTATTATGTGGTTTCTTAGTTAGTTACTCAAAACCCACATGTTATGAATCAATTTAAAAGATTTGTAGTATCCAGATCAAATTTAAGTAAGAAAAGTTAAATATACTTTAAATAAGAAATTTATAAAATTGTAATAATTAATAATCGGTTAACAATACGCGACATAAAAGCTGAAGTAATTTCATAACTCTTGAGGAGATCCATGTTATTATTAAACTTTAAGAATATACAAAAAATATTGATTAAAATTATTAGTTCATTTTAACACAAAATGAAGAGTTGTTTAACAACTAAATAATCATTTTCACAATTAATCTTAGATTAATTGAAAAATTTAATAATCATGTCAACTGTAAAAAGAAATTTTTAATAAATTAAATTTAACAAGCTATGAAAATAAGAATTTTTTTAATTATAGTTTTAGCGAAAACAAATACTAGTAAATAATACAATGTTTTAGTTATGAATAAAAGGTGTACAAGTGTACATTCAGCTGGTATTGAACAAATACATGAAATGCCTCTTAATGAAATCATACGACCAATTCCACCACAAGTAGATGAAGATAAGGTTAAAAGCTTAATGGATACTTTGTCTGTAAGTGTATTATAATATTTAATGATGATAAAATACAAAATAATAATAAAAAAAATTAAACATCAAATAAATAGTAATAATCTAAACAAAAATAATTAAAAATTACAATACAAACATTTTATTCAATAAAATATAGTTTGTGTAATTGTATAAATAAAATAAGCTTTTCCTTAAATTTAAATCTACTAACTTAATTTACAAATATAATAAAAATTATTTGAATTTAGGACCCAGATCAGGCAGATTCTGTACCACCAATAGATGTATTATGGATCGTAGGAAGAGAAGGTGGTAATTACTTTTATTCATTTGGTGGATGTCATAGGTATGCAGCTCATAAACGTTTGAAAAGAGATACAGTAAAAGTAAAATTGGTATCTTCAACTATTCAAGATTTACACAACTACTTAGGAGCATCCACACCTGATCTTAAATGATAATATTATTTTATTAATGTTAATTAGTTTTAAATGGATTTTTAAGGTTTAGGGATTTCAAAAAACTTCAGCAAATGAATTGAAAGTTATTTTAATTATTAAAAATAAATAAGTAAAATAACATTTTATAAATAATATTATTTTAGTTTTATTGAGAAAAAACACTTGTCGAGAACTTACCATAATTAACAGTTTTTCAGGGATTATACCAAAGTGGATCTTGCTGAAAATATATAAATATTTATGAAAAAATATTACTATAGAAAATTAAAAAAATTTAACTTACTTCTTGAGTTTTAGCTTTGACTTTTCTTTCAATAAGTTGTTGTAGTGCTTCTGATCGCACTGATAATGTGTCTATTTTCTCTAAAAGCTGTTGGTAGGGTGATAAAGGTTGTGTTCCCATAACAACATGTCCAAGTTTTGAGTCAATTTTTGCATCTAACCTGGCATTCCTGATAAGGTTCACAATCCAGCATTCAGCCTCTTCTGGATTCATATTAAGTTTTTCAGCTAACATACTAAATAATAAAAAAATTATTTAAATGTTATAAAATTATGAATATAGTATATACATACCCAATACTAATACACTGATGAATACGGCAAAAGGTTTCAAAAATCATCAATCGAGCATTTTCTACAAAATCATCAAGGCACGCAGTCAAGAAGAAGTCATTAAAAAGAACAATTTGACATTCATGTAATTTGTCTCTGGCTCCTTCAAAATCAAAGTTAACATAAAGATTTTCTAGAAGTTCAGTTATAGGGTCACGGTAGGTATATGATTCCTAAACACAGTATTAGCATTAATAAATATTTAAAATGTATGATTAACAATTAATTTAAATGTTATTAAACATACCTGTTGAATAACCTTGACAAGATCCTTCATAGCTGCTCTTCTTGAACGATTTATGATTACTGCAGTGGCCAAGTAGCGAAGAATGTGTGGGCACATGGTTTGAATGGCATTTAAATAGCTAATAACAAACTAATTTGTAAATATATAATATAATATAGTATTTTTACTAGTAATCATAATATATTACTTTGGCCTGTATAGAAACATATCAATAATAAGATCACGTCCCTTAACATGATTGAAAAACACAAATAAACTCCAGTGAATTAACCATGTTCGTTGTTGCAGCAAATGCAATGAAGAACCATTTGTATTGGAATCAATGTACTCCCGCAGTTTGTTTAAATCTTCCAGAGCGGTTTCCCAGTTTTGAATAAGTATTTCAGATGCTAATTTTCCCCAAAGAACATTCAAATAGTTCTAAAGAATAATTAAAAAAAAATTTTAATACCAGAAATTCAATAAGAATTGTACACAATAAATTTACCTTATCAGATGGCGACATAACTAATAAATAAAAGTACAAGTGACTTGTTGTACCAGCGTAATTTCCACAATCATAATGGTACTTAGCAAATTTGTACATACTTTCCATCATTTCTACTTTAAACTAAAAAGAAAAAAAAAAGGATAGTTTAGTTATTATTTATTACATACTATATGACAATTATACTTCTATTACATAAATTTATTTAAATAAAAGATACTATCTAGTTATCTCAACTACCATGAAGGTAATATTTAGTTCTATAAACTAAAAATGTTAGATTGAATGACCACAGTTTATTTTTAAAAAATTTTTCTAAAAACATTAAGACTTAAAGGAAATGTGGTTTATATTTTAAAATATGACCTAATATATTGACAGAAGGTATATATATTATTATAATTTGTTGGTTCAATTGTAAATAGAGATCCTAGAAGGTATAGATAAGATGCTTCTCATCCCCATTTTTGACTTAAAAAATTATATGTATTAAGATAGATACAATAACCATTATGACCCATATAACATAAAAAAAGGTTTTCTTAACACTAAAATTCCAATTTTGAGATAAATATATATACCAGAAAGTTTCACTTATATTACATATATCAAATATCTAAATAAATCATTAAACAATCTTGAATTTAAAAGATTTAAGATTTTTAAAAATAACAAGTTCAAAAAACATTTATATTTATTTAAATAGTTAGTTTTTTAGATTTAAATATTCTAATAAATTATATTTTTTTAGAAATACATTAACTATACTCGTATCCTTGTAATTTAATAGTATTATCACCTTAAAAAAATCAATTTAATAAAATAATCAGTTTGAATAAAATTTTAAACCTTAACAGATTAAGTTTCTAAGAATTGAAATTTAAAATTAAATCAATAATAATCTATGTAGAATATAAATAACACTAACGTTGAATTCACTGGTCAAATAAGACGATAATGTTTTAGGATCCCTCATAGTTTCCATATTTTTCATGACTTTATCATCTTTAAGGAAATTCATCACAACATCAACTTCACTTTGAAACTGATTAAGCTGCGATACAATTTGATCTCTTCTTGTTTTCATTTCCTAAAATCATGTTTCAATAACATAAAAAACACTATAGATTGTAAGTTTTAGAGTAATGTAGGTACATACCTCAGGTACTTCTTTATCAGGATTCAACTGTTTGTAAATCTCAATAACATAATCCATCATATTAGTTTTATTAAGAATGTCTAATTTGGCTTGCAAAATTTCATTCTCATTGTAAATCTAAACAAATAGTTTGAGTTCGATCAAAATTTGTAAAGCAAATACTATTAGCTATGCATTGTACACACACAAGACAATTGGATTAAAATTCAACAAAACTCAATCGTACTGAGAAGGCTTACCTTTTTTGCCCACAAAAATTCCAGCAATGGAGCAACCAAATGCCGGTCTAGATATTTCGTCATCTTGCTTGTCAAATCGAATTTGGCCATGTTTGTGAATAACAATTACGAATTCCGTACTGTAATGGATGTAAAAACTAGCACAGTACTATAAAAATCAGCGTACGCTGTACGGAAGAAGTGAGTAAAAATTAATAAATACTATGTATTTAAATCGAAACTCGAAAGCTCCAAATCGTCAGAGTGGCGTTACACTCAATTTTTTGAGGTTACGTTACTCCGTTAGTATAGGATCGCGCGTTTCCAAACTCCAAAGACACTGTACGCATGTTCAAACCCCTTCCATACAATAAATAATTATACAAGAAATATAATATTATATTAAAGTATAATATATTATTATATTTTTATTGAAAATAATATAACATAATACAGTTGTTTATTATTATAAGTATACATAGTATAAATAGTATACTTTATATTAAACTTTAATAGTTTATATATTGTCATATTGAAGTAGGTATACTATATTTTAACCATGGTTTTTGTGTAAATAAATGTGTTATTATTTTAAAACTTTGAATATTTTTGTTTAAAAACAAAATAAACTACCAATTTAATATGTAAAACAAATAAATAACTAATATAATATGAAACAATTCAAAAACATTTTTTTGCAATAATATATTATCTATAACACAAAAATACTATACTTCAGTAAATTTTTTAACGTTTAAGCTCTGTTAAAAAGAGACAATTATCTATAATGAGAAAAAAATGAACTACTATTTTCTTATTTAATTTCCTACAATATTTATGAATTTTAATCTTCTTACTATATTATGTATGGAATTGCTGGATTACTTGTCAATTCTCTCCTTGCCTCGAGGTATCTATATATGGCACTCAAATTCCTACTTCTTCCACTGTCAAATATTTAGGATTTACACTTGATCGCAGACTTACTTGGGCCCCTCACCTTAAATCTAAAAGACAAAATTTAAACCTACGGCTGCGCCTGTTAAAAACTTTCTGCAATAACAGTAAATACACAAACATTAAAACTAAACTTCTTATTTATAAATCTCTAATCAAGCCCATCTGGACATATGGGATACAGCTCTGGGGTAATGCAAAAAAATCTAACATCAACAAGATCCAAACTTTTCAAAATATTGCGCTAAGGAAACTACTTAATACTCTACCTTATGTTTCCAACCATTCTATACAACAAGACCTTAGAATTCCGTCAAAGACGAAGCAAAACTATTTTAAAAGCGTTTCCACAGTAGGTTACCCAACCATCCTAACCCTCTTATAAAAAATCTAGCAAACCCTTCGATCCCGGGTAATCCCGCTAGACGTCTTAAACGTAACTGGTGTCATGACCTGCTAAATGCATGAATCCTAGAAAATCCCCTTATTAAACTGAAACAAAATAGGTAGTGTCATCAATGGGTGGCTTCTTCCGTCATACTTTTTATGTTTTATTACTCTTATCAAATTTACTTATTGTTCTTTGAATAGATTGTAAATATTTTGTAAAAATAAAAAAATAAAAAAAAAACTTATCAATAATCCCTACCCACTATAATTTTAAAATTCATTGAATTCTTGAAATTTCTAAAAAAAAAAAAAAAATGTTCTTTCAAATATTCAATTATCTAAAGTTGATTTAAAGTTTACATAAATGTACAAATTAATCTGTGGTTAAAAACTTATAAAAATCTCAATAATTGAATACAAAGTATCTTATAATCATAAATATCTTTTTTTAACTTTAAAACCTGTAATAAATGTACTTTTTTATAATTTAAAATAATTTGATTAGTTTTTAACATATTGCCTATTTTACCACGAAGGAACCTATATTCACAAAATTCTACATTAAAACGTTATTGACTTAATAATAGTAAAATCATTAAAACATAATATAAATATTATATTTTTAATAATATGTTTAATTAATACGATGTTTTCGTGAAAAATTAATTAGATGCTTAAATAGTAATATAAATGTGTAATAATGAAAATATTATATTAGAAGTATATACTAGTGTAGGATATAAAAGATCACTTGCTCGTGTGCAATGATTTATCATTGAACTCAAATACCAACAATCCCTTTGTTATTACTCATTGGCAATGAATCATTACCATTTACCGAATTAAAATTGTCTACTCAATGACAATGTACATTCGACATTTTTTCGAATTCTTATTTTTGAAATTTTGATTAACTGATAGTTGATACCTATAGTATTTTCTAATGTCTTTATGTGCAAGTGCAACTGCCAACTGCGCAAGCTAATTTGAATGGAATTAGTTAAGTGTCCGATATCCGTGAATAATAACATCAGGCAGTAATACATGGCCCATGGCTACACTATAGACCATAAACTTTATAAGATTCTACCTAATTATTTCTATAATGTCCTGACAAAAAAGTAAAAAATACTCAACTTGCGACTGTTAACCGACAACGGTTACGATAGCTCATTGCTCATATAATTATAGACCTTACACCACAGACGGCACAGCCTAAAGAGCAATGACTAATGGACTGTTACCTTTATAGTCTGTTTACTGCTTATACATTATGTATAAGGTCTATGCATATATAGGTAGCTTATTGCCTGAACTGTGATAATGATACGATTTGTAAACACAACAGCGGATGGCGCTGATAGGGAAATTTCAGTAGGTAGTAGATACGAGACGACTACGTATGTGATTATTGTTAATGTTGTTTACTATGTAGGTGTTTGCCCGTAGGCATAAGAATAATAATTATAAGCGTTGTACCGATTGGGATTATTTAGTTTCCTAGTCGTTATCATATGTATTGTTTTTCGGCGCCGCTGTCCAGATGCCTTTGATAAATTACCTTTGATACAGCAACACAATGCCTCTAGGACACGCCGTTGTCGTTTGGGAATGGGAGAACCGGAACGGCCGATGGAAACCTCATAGCCCCGAAGTGGCACAGTTGCTCGAAAGGGCTCATTTCAAGAAATTAACCAGGGTGATTCTGAGAGATGCCGATCCGAACATGGAGTCCTCATTTGTCAATTTACGAACCATGTACCAGTGCTCAGAAGAAAACGAGGGTAATTTATTGTATAGTATTATGTAGTATTTCTATCATCTTCATATCATATGACAGACTTTGAAATACAAAAAATTCAATGTCAACATTTTAGGTGCACTTTTGGCTGTACGTAGATCTTATTATCCGGCTAATTCATTGCCTGGTAAAGGAGCTAGGTGGGAATGGGCTGGTGATGTACCTGGAGAGTGGCATACATACGACATGGAATCCCAATGTTTCCTAGAAACAGCTTGGGCAATGGTGAGTTTCCTAAACTAATAATTATAATTGTGGCACATTAAGAGTATGGGATAGTGGTGTTTTGTATCTATTATATGCAGTTAGCTTGTGTTTGATTTTCCAAACACCCATCTACCACTTACTATAGTGAATGAAGCAGTGAAGAAAGTTGAATTGGATTCACGACTAGTCATACTCTCAATGTGCAGCGAGTATATACTATTATTGATATTATTTATTTTTTAACTCAAAATATTTATTTTATAGGGCTGCCAAATTATAGATGTAAGTCGGACTTATTTAGGTTTTCCATACACAATTAATTTTTGTAATTTAACCCAAGTGCGGAATGACAGTGGATATAAACGCAATATTAGACGTGTGAACCAAGCACCATACCCACTAGTTAAAATACAATCAGATGAAGTTATTCAATTTAATGGTTAGTTGATTTAAACTTAAAATATCAAATTAAATTAATTTTTAGTTTTTATTTTAAGATAGAGCAGTTGTAGACACAATTAGAAATTTATCATCAAAAAATGAAACAATTAGAAAATCTAATTCAGAATATATAGATACAATGGCTAAAAAACAACTTCATTATAAAAAAAATAAACAAGTAGTTCATGATAGTCATCACAGTGGGACTAATATAGCTCGTACCTTATTAAGTATTTTTGGTAAGTTACTTAATTTATATTTTCTGTTTTTTGAAAACTTTATAATAATAAAAAAAAAAAAAACATTAAATATTTTTAGCTAATAAAAATCCTTCATCACTATCTAAAGAAGCTCAATGGCCAATAGGAACCACAGCCACTAAAAGCTGTAGTGAATCAATTAAATCAGATTCATCGATAGTTGATTTAGATTCAAGTAGCATACGCAGTGGTAGACGTCCTAGTGTTGATACTATTTCAACTTATCTAAGTCATGACAGTCATGAACTTCGCACATCACGAGTAATAAAATTTAAAATGATAAAATATTTGATTTTTTTTTTTCTATATTATATAATTAAGTATGCCAATAATAAATTATTTTAATTTGTAGTATGATCTCTTGGATTATTCCGGTGGCAGTATTGGAAGTGATGATGCTTTTGAATGTCAACAGAAATCAGATAATTGCAGAAATCAATCAGTTATTGGTATGTTATGGCATTAAAATATGAAGCTAAAGAATATCGTAAATTTAGAATGAATTATTTAAGAATAATATTTTACTTTTAAAGTTCTCTAAAAATGGCTGTTTTTTGTTTATTATTCTAAAAATGATCTAGTTTGATTTATTCAAATTGTATACTTGTATAGTATATTCAGGAGGTAACTCTGTGACATAGCTGTATATAGCTTGTGTTAAAAAACACAATTTTTAATTTTGGAACATATTGTTATTTTTCAGTATTTAAAAAACTAATTTTTTGTGTTATGTTTTTAGGAGTAAATTCAGTAAGCGAAAAATTATCTTGCTATGTTCAAATAGTGGATGATTTTTGGCCAGGACTTGACGTGTTGTGTCCATTTTGTCAAAATCCACTTATCTCATCAAATAAATCAAATAAAAGTTTAGTTATAGCTTTGAGCATATGTCAACACAAAATGCATCTTACTTGTCTTAACTCAATTTTAAACAGTCAACCTTATTCTAATCGGGTATTCTAAATTTAAAAATATTACATTTTTGTATTAATATAAATTTAAAAAAATAAAGGATAATATTTTATAAATTAAATATTGTTTAAATATTTCTTAGTGGATGTATATTCAATGTCCAATCTGTATGAAAGTCTATGGGGAAAAAAGAGGTAATCAACCGCCAGGTGCTATGAAGTGGACATATTTAAATCGATCATTACCCGGATATGGTAGTACAAGAACTATTCAGATCACATATGAGTAAGTATTTACATAAAAACTGATTTTTGGTAATTTGCTTTAA